GCGGTCGAACATCAAGGGGTTTGACTTTGACGGCTGCCACGGACTATAACGTCCAACTATAAAAACTCCAAAGAGCAAAAGATAAGGAATAGGCCAAAGGTTCCCTGCCTAGTAAACAAAATCATAGCCCTTGGATACCTTCCCTTTTTCGCGCGGTGTTGGCGGGCCATAGCAATCTCTGACATTCGCCCATATGTGTCGGTCCGTTTGTAATCCCATAACTCTTTACACACTAGGGTGGCAAAACGTCGCGCGTGAGATTTTAATATAAAGTCGCGCAGCCGAGGGCCTATCTCATACCAACGTGCAATGCAGGCGTACGCATGCAGTCGCAACGATGGCGTACTATGTAGTGTCCATAATCAAGCAGTCCCTCGTGGATCCGAGTACCGCTTATGACACTCAAGTGTCAGACTCGAAGTGTCGTGAGGGTCTGATTCTTCACGACATTGCACGGCTGAAGGAATAGTCGTGCAGCCGCCACGAGATCTCCGGCCTTTGGTCTGAGCGTCTCGGTAGGCAAGGCAAATAGGCTCTGCGCGAGGGAAAACACCTTCCTTGCAGAGCCTAGGGCTTGGGATGTCCTGGAGAAGGACCTCGAATCCCGGCCCCGGACCAACGTCCGACTAAGAAAAATCCTTAAGAAGTAAAACCAATAAAAGGAAGGACCTTCCCTTTGCCTTTTAGTCTTAACCCCTGAGCAGGCTTTTAGTACGGGGGTCCTTTAGCCAATGCAAGTATTCATCCTAAGTATACTCATATATATGCATATATATAACAGGGGGAAGTGTGTAACGATCACTTCTCACAGTTTCATTGGGGTCCCTCACAGCTATATGTATATATCTGGTCGCAGGCAACCACATCCAGATTTTGATTCATAGCACATACCTGCGAATCACATCAATGAGTCAATCAACAGCCCACGCACTACACAGAGTCAACCCCAACCATCTTCAACACTCATACCCTTCGCTTTAGCCATGCAAACCGCAACCTCCTGTCCAACCACACCTTAATTAAATACACAGTACCTTTGTTAAATGACCATTCAATAAAAGTCCGTGTGAAACCTTAATGAAACAATAAAAATTGCCAGGGCTAAAGCCTTTTAGGTTGAGTGTGGAGGGTGAGTTGGAATTGAGTCGTAAACCGACGGATCGACAACCGACCTGTTATCAGTGATAATAAATAATGATTCTCAAGGAATCAAGCTGAATCCAGTCCTGACCTTGAATCAAACAACCCAAAGGACCTGTGACACAAGATAGGTCAAATGCTCAGGCTAAATCATCAGCATATGGGGGATAAAACCTCCATAACACACCTCCTTATAATACTCTCTAGCGCCACCTGTCGAAAATAATCTAACTCCTCTAAAAACAGGAAAATTTCGGCAGCGCTTCCCGTAGGAAAAGTGCCCTCTCAGAATTTATATAAGCCCAAATATGAAATTAGAAATAACCTTTGACTTGTCAAAGTTCAACCTGTCTAGATTTCAAATATGGCTTAATAAAATTATGGGAAGCCTCCTTTTCTAAAGGAAGTGTTTCCCAAAATTTTGCTAATTTAGGGAGTTAGACGAAATAGGACTTTGGAGAGTCAAGGGTTATTTCTGATTTCATATTTGGGCTTATATAAATTCTGAGAGTGTATTTTTCCTACGGGAAGCGCTGCCGAAATTTTCCTGTTTTCAAAGGAGTTATATTATTTTCGACAGGTGGCGCTATAGAGTATTATAAGGAGGTGTGCTATGAAGGTTTTATCCCCCATATGCTGATGATTTAGCCTGGGCATTTGACCTATCTTGTGTTACAGGTCCTTTGGGTTGTTTGATTCAAGGTCAGGACTAGATTCAGCTTGATTCCTTGAGGATCATTATTTCTTATCACTGATAACAGGTCGGTTGCCGATCCGTCGGTTTACGACTCAATTCCAACTCACCCTCCACACTCAACCTAAAAGGCTTTAGCCCTGGTAATTTTCATTGTTTCATTAAGGTTTCACATGAAATTTTATTGAATGGTCATTTAACAAAGGTACTGCGTATTTAATTAAGGTGTGGTTGGACAGGAGGTTGGGGTTTGCATGGCTAAAGCAAGGGGTATGAGTGTTGAAGATCGTTGGGGTTGACTCCGTGTAGTGCGTGGGCTGTTGATTGACTCGTTGATGTGATTTGCAGGTATGTGCTATGAATCAGACTCTGGATGTGGTTGCCTGCGATCACATATACACGTATGGCTGTGAGGGACCCCAATGAGACTGTGAGAAGTGATCGTCACACACTTCCCCCTGCTATATATGCATATATATGAGTATACTTGGGATGAATACTTGCATTGGTTAAAGGGCCCCCGTACTAAAAGCCTGCTCAGGGGTTAAGACTAAAAGGCATAGGGAAGGTCATTCCTTTTATTGGTTTTACATCTTAGGGATTTTTCTTAGTCGGACGTTGGTCCGGGGCCGGGATTCGAGGTCCTTGTCTAGGACATCCCAAGCCCTACGCTCTGCAAGGAAGGGTTTTCCCTCACGCAGAGCCTATTTGCCTTGCTTACCGAGACGCTCAGACCAAAGGTCGAAGGTCTCGTGGCGGCTGCACGACTATTCCTTCAGCCGTGCAATGTCGTGAAGAATCAGACCCCCACGACACTTCGAGTCTGACACTTGAGTGTCATAAGCGGTACTCGGATCCATGAGGGATTGTTTGATTATGGGCACTACATATTACGCCATCGTTGCGACCGCATGCGTACGCCTGCATTGCAGGTTGGTATCAGATAGGCTCTCGGCTGCGCGACTTTATAATCTCGCGTGCGACGTTTTGCCACCCTAGTGTGTAAAGAGTTATGGGATTACAAAGGGACCGACATATATGGGCGAATGTCTGAGATTGCTATGGGCCGCCAATGCCGCACGAAGAAGGGAAGGTACCCCAGGGCTATGATTTTGTTTACTAGGCATGGAACCTTCGGCCTATTCCTTATCTTTTGCTCTTTGGAGTTTTTATAGTTGGACGTTATAGTCCGTGGCAGCCGTCAAAGTCAAACCCCTTGATGTTCGACCGCCACGACAGCTTAAAGCTGTCTACTCAACCCCTCTGCACAGGGTGCAGAAGAGGGTGTGATCTTCAACCACGCATGGCGGTTGTCCAGCGTCGAGAGATTAACCCTCGAGGCGCGTGTGAGCCGACACTTGAGTATCGAACGCGACCGTCGCGATTAACGGGGACCGCGTGAGTATGGGTACCACATAGTACGCCTTCATTGCGACTGCTTGCGCACGTCTGCATTGCGAGTCGATACGCGATAGCCCTACGTACGCGCGATTTAATATTAAGTCTCGCGCGCGATGCCTATCCGATTTCCGTATCGGGAAGTTACGGGACGGCTACCGAGGGGCTAAGAGCGTTGTCGCGTTGTTTATGTTGTATTTCGTATGTGTGTGTGTGGGTTTTATTTTTGTGTTCGTAACGTGTTGTGCGCGTGGTGTGTGGGATGCGTCCTAGTTGACCGACGACGAACCGCGCTTGGGACTTCAGCGCCCCATGATGCCGGTTCGCGTGCGGGTCCGATAGAGGCGTATTACTGCGCGTACCCCCTATGCTACAACGAACGAGAAACGCCCTCGGCTGGTCCACCTCTGCGATTGCAACTGATCAACTTTCGTATTGTGGACTGGTAGCTCGGCGGGGATACGCCCACCGAAGGGAGGTGACAGCTCCCGTAAGGTGTAGGTAAGTTGTGCCTCGCGTAGGCCCTATCCTGTCGTAGGGGCTCGCGAGAGGTATGGCTGGTGCACTCGGCGGAGCGGCCTATGGAAACTCCATGTATATTCGCGACGAAGCATTTAAAACCAACTCCTGCGTGAACCAGCCGGGAGGGTCCCGCGCTGCCCTTGTGCGGTGCCGCATCGATGCGCTTGATAGGTGGCGCCATTGCCGGGGATAGCGGAAAGCCTGTCGTTGTCCCTGGTGGAACGACATCCGGGTATAAGAAGTGAATGAGAAAAGGCATAAAGGAATGATGAGAAGGTGAGGAGAAAAATAAGGAGTGACTAAGTGTAGATGAGAAAGTTTACCTGCCCAAGTTAGGGAAAATTATGAGGGGCAACTGTGCTAGTATTGAGTAAAGTACGTAGTAAGAGTTAGGTAAAGCGGGTGGAATAGACCGGTCAAGGTGTAATGTTGAATAAGGAAATGTGCTTGTTTTTTCTCTTATCAGGGAGCTTGAAAAGAAGAGGCTGTCAAGATGCCTGAAACTGGCGGCGCATCGGGTGCTCCCAAGAGAGACCTGACACTCGATGACCTCATCGCGGCCATTGACGGGCATGAAAGGAACCCGAGCAATATCCCTAAGGTCGACACGTTTCATTTTTGTGGAGAGAGAGTCTCAGAATGGCTGGAGCGGGTGGAACAAGCTTTGGTCGGGCGGTCGGACGTTGTGAAGTTTCAACGCATCCTTCAGTATGTCTTATATAGCTACCATCAAGAGGTGAAGAAAGTTATAGATGCAGCCCAAGGTAGCTGGGAAAGGTTCAAAGAGGGAGTGCAGAGGAAGTACCGTCTGGGAGATGGACTATTGACCACTGCGGACCTTGAAGCAATGAACAAGGAGGATTTTACGACAATAGGGGCTTTTGTTCAGGAGTTCAAGAAGAGGGCGCGAAAGGTCCATGGGATTTCAGAGGAGGCACATTGCGCCATCTTCCTGGGGCTACTCACAGCATCGGAGGCCGTTGAGCTGACGAGACATGGAGGGGGTAGCACCAAACTCACCTGGGCCACCATTGACAGAGGGGTGGAAGTTGGATGTTTGGACCAGGTGGAGCAACGTCAGGTACGCCTGCAAAGGCAGAAGAGAAAGGAAAGAGATGCGACCGCTTCTGGGACCCCGGGGGTAACAAGGATTGTTAAAGACGTATTGGCACAGTTGGGGTATGCGACAGAGCCAGTGGTGCAAAGGAGGGTAGTAACGGCTGTCCAAGTGAAGGGAAAGGAGCCGGTGATAGAGGAGGCTGTTCAGGAGGAGCTCTGGGAAGAGGAAGAGTCGGTGTTGCAGCGCCTGACGAAGGCCCAACGCAAAGTGCGTAACTTGGCGCAGGGCGGACAGGGATCAGGAAAAACGGAGGCGCCTCAGGCCTTGACAACTTTAAATGTGGCGGCTCCATCATCTAGTACGGGCCCCTCGCAAGGAGGGGCGCCCTCCTACGGACAGTGGCCCTGGCCGGTGATTAATGCAATCGTACCATGGGGTAGCCCGCCGCCAGTAGCCGGACCACAAACGAGTATGCGGCCACCCATTTACCCCGCAGCCCAGGACCAGCCTGTGGCCCCGCCACCGTCACCCGCTCCCAGTTCAGAGGGAAGCGTGGCAGGAGGTGGGAACCAGGGGCAGGGCAACCAAGGCAACGGAGGGAGGGGTGGAGGAAGGGGGCGAGGCAGGAATGGCGGCGGAAGAGGAGGGCAATGAAATTGTCAAGGTCGAGGAAACCAAGGCCAGCGAAATCAAGGCCAAGGGTACCAAGGCAAGGGGTATCAAGGCCAGGGGTATCAAGGTTAGGGGGATCAGGGAAGTCAGGGGTATGGGAGACCCCGTTTTGACTGGAGGACGGCCATCTGCCTGCATTGTGACCAGCAAGGCCACACCATAAGGTTCTGTAACATAAGACGGGAAGACGAGAGGAGCGGGCTGATCTCCTCCACTATGGATGGAAACATTTATGATCAGTTTGGGGAGGCCATTGACAGAAGGCCTGGAGGAGTGAGAGCGGAGGCCCAACGAAGGGCGGCGGCCGGGCCGCCACCCCCTGCCACGTTCAGGCTATGGTAGGAAAAGGAGGAACCACCGATTGGGGTAGAGGAAGTGGGGAGCGACGAGGAAGTGACTCAAGGACCACGTGGAGGAAGTAGGAGGGAAGAGCCCATAATCATCGAATCGGATGATGAAGACGAGGAAAGAAGGATGGAATCGACATCCGTCTTATTAGGGAAGATGGAGGACCTACTGAACAAGGTGGGAAGATACCAGCAGAAGTTGGTAGACCTCTGCGACGAAGTGAAGAGATGGAGGTCTAACATCCCCAAGGTGTTCCTCTATGACTCCGGCCCGGAGTCAGCGCCTGGGCAACCCGGAATAAATGTGGTGGGGTCGTGCCCACAATCGGGAATGATGGGGAGACCCCTCACTCCACAGGCTCGGCTGGCACATGCAGCACGAACAAGAAGTCAAGGCCAGTGCCAACCAAGAACCTCCGAGAAGGGAGCCCGAATCGGGGAAAAGGAAAGAGGCAGTGGAAGTAGAGGACGATGATGACGAGGAGGAAGAAGACGAGAGGCTGCGTCGGGAAGAGAATCAGAAAGCGGAGCAGCGGGCGAGGAAAAAGGGGACCGCACCGCCCAAAAAGAAGAAATACGCGGTTCGGTTGGAAGAGGGATTTGATGTAGAGAAAGTGATTGACCGGCTGCTGAAAGGCCATAATGACCTCATGACCCTGAAGGAAATCCTAGCGTCAGCCTCGCGACTCCGCGATGAATTGAAAGGGAGGTTGTCGAGGCGCTTGGTGCCCAACGTCCATCTGGGTAAGATCCTGCCCAAGGAGGCAGAGTGGGCGGAGTCGGGTACGAAAATGGACTGGAAGTGTGTAGCCTGCGGCACGGTGGACTTAGTGGTGAAAGGCTCCAAGTGGGCAGCAATGGTGGACACCGGGGCGAAAATGAACACCATCCGGGGCGGATGCTATCAGATTCGGGCTAGACATAGACCGATCTGACTGCGGTATTTTGCACGGCGCCAGCTGCAAGGCCGTGTTTTGTGGGACAGCCTCGAATGTACTCATCGAGGTTGGAAAGGTGAAGGTCCGAGCTTGCTTCTTCATCATGTCGGACGTGGACCATGGGATCCTCCCAGAGAGGTCATTTTTGAGTAGAACAAAAACCGTGATGTTCAACAAGCATGGCGGTACTCTGATCCTCCTCCTATGTGACCCTGCCTGCGGGAATTATGAAATAATTACCTGCAGAAATACAGGACCAAGGAGTATAAGGAACCGGCCTAACCCAGGATCCTTCACGATCGAAGAATCGGAGGGCGAGCGCCGAAGGCTTCGGGCGGAGCCGGAAGGAGAAGAAGAGGTGAAAGCGTTTTCCCTTAGCCTATCGGACGTCGGAAAGGCCATGGATTTGGTCGCCGCACATGAGATGGCGGATCCGGATGCCATCCAGGCCTTGAGGGAGCAAGTTCTGGAATGCCCCGAGGCTGGGAGATTGGAGCTGGTATATCGTCTTTCGGACGGAAGGAGGAACCCCACGTCCGCGTAGGCGCAATTTGTGAGTCGGCCTTTTTTAGGGGACGACTCAAGCAGGGTTCCCAAAGGCGGTACAAGACGGTAGACAAGAAGTGCCGTCCGGTTCCCATCCTCGTTACAGTGGACGAAGAAACATATTACGAGAAGGAATGAGGGTTGATACGGCGAATGAGGGAGAGTGCTTTAGCAGGATCATGTCGTATCAACGAAGGGAATGAAGGGGAGTTGATTATAGGGGAGCCCGACTTCCTACTGCCTCACGAACGGACATTGATGGTGGAATTGATGAAAAGGAGGCATCGCGCCTATGCATTTAGTGACGAGGAGCGTGGCAGGCTGGATGTGGACAAAATACCTATGATCCGCATCCACACTGTGCCACACGAGCCTTGGAACATGAGAAGGGCGCGATATTCTAATCCTGACGAGGAGAAGAAGGTGGTGGATTACCTCGACGGCAAGATACGTACGCACGTCGCCGATTATTCGAGTGGGCCGTATGCGTCCCCGTGGTTCTGCTTCATCAAACCTAACGGGACACTGCGGTGGGTGCAAGACTTGCAGAGGCTGAATGCGGTAGCCGTGCGGGATGCTGGAGGACTGCCAAATGCGGATGCTCTGTCAGAATCTTGTGTTGGAAGGCCTATAATCTCATTTATAGACCTTTACTCAGGATATGATCAGTTTCCAGTCTACCCGCCAGATAGGCCGGTGACGGCTATGCACACGCCACGAGGATCAATCCATATGAACATGGCCCCACAAGGGTGGACCAACGCGGTAGCAATGGTCCAACGGGCCATGATTCGTGTTATGCAGTCAGTCAGCCCTCATATCACACAGCCATACATCGATGATTTGGCAGTGAAGGGGCCAGCAGTGAAGGAGAGCGACGAAGTCTCGCCAGGGGTAAGGCGCTTTGTTTGAAAGCACATCCAGGACCTCGATAAGGTCCTGAGCCTGCTCGAGGAGCATAACCTCACAGCGAGCGGGACCAAATCCAGACACTGCATGAGGGAAGCGACTATCTTGGGGTTCGTCCGCAACGAAAGGGGCCGAAGGACGGATGTGAAAAAGACGGACAAGATTACTGAGTGGCCAGTTCCTTTCCACTCAATAATTGATGTCAGGAGCTTCCTTGGTACATGTGGATTTTGGAGGGTCTTCGTCAAGAACTTCGCCGCTAAGACTGAGCACCTGAGGAAGTTAGTCCGTTAGGATCAAGAGTGGGTTTGGGGTGAAGAGCAAGAAGAAGTGATGGCCAGAATAAAGGAGTTTCGAGAGGGAGGGTTGGTATTAGGGGCGCCTGATTATGATGCCACAGAGACACGACCCTTCATTGTCGAAACAGATGCGGGGCCAACTGCCTCAGGAGGAGTTCTAATTATGACAGACATGGAAGGAAAGGAAAGACCCTTGCGATTTGAGAGTCGGACTCTCTGTACGACAGAGAGAAACTACTCTCAGTTCAAAATGGAGACCCTTATTGTCCTCCACTGTCTACGGATCTTCCGGAACTACATCTTCGGCAGGAGGTTTATTTTGAGAGTGGACCCGACCGCCCTGGCCTACTCTCTGAGGAATTACGTTTCATTGGATCCGACGGTTGCCAGATGGCTGACGTACATCTGGATGTTTAACTTCGAGTTGGAGCGTATTCCTGGTAGCAAGAACCGGGCGGACGGGCTGAGTCGTATCAACTGGGATAACCAAGAAGGGGAGGCAGTGGAGAATACGCCCCCAGTTGATGGAATCCTGGATCAGAAGTTAGATGTCCGTCTCCATATCAACAAGTGGTCGCCACGAGTGCCTAGCTGTGTGGACTATCCTATTTGGCAAGCGCTAAGTGGATACGAAAGGAGGGCAGAGCTAGTCCTCAAACCCTTTGAAGAAGAAGATCCTTGGGGAGGTAAGGATGTTCAGTGGATGATGGAGTTGGCGCTGGCCAATTCGCATAGTCTGATGGAAGACATAAGAACGATCGAGGAAGGACCAGGCCAGGTAGAAGGGCATGAGGATCTGATGGGAGGAATGTATCTCCTCGTCAACACGCTATTGCAGGAAAGCCTCGACCACTCAGGCTCGTTGAACCCGGCAGGGAATGTGGACGAAGTGCCCGAGAGCCAAGACGACGAGTTCGAGAAGGGGGAGATTAAGGAGGCCTTTCGCGCAGAAGAATATCATGGGATCTACCTGGAGCTGGGCCTTCTCTTGTCTTGCGAGATGCGGCTAAGGGATGCAAGCGATAGGACTCAGAGGATGCTGCAGCGCTACTTAGTGCGAGATGGTCACCTTTTCGTAAGAAGAGAAGTGGGGAATCCCAGGAGAGTCGTCTGCGGTAGGAACCGCCAGATTGACGTCGTAGCAGCACTTCATGATGGCATTGCAGGAGGGCATCGAGGGGTACAAGCCACATATGCTAAGATAAGTGAGTTGTACTACTGGGATGGGATGATGGACATGGTCGGGAAATTTTGTCGATCCTGCGTACCCTGCCAGGAGAGATCCCGTTTGAGGCAAGGAGAGCCGCTACATCCAAGGCTAGAGCGAGAGGTGGGGGCTGTAGTGCATCTTGATCTACTTTTCATGCCGCTTGGGGATCAGGGCTATACCTATATCTTCGATGCGCGCGATAACCTGTCTGGGTTCGTGGACGGGCGTGCTATTCGCACAAAGACCGGGTTAGTCCTGGTGAGCTGCATCGAGGAGTACTATCTGCGCTATCCTTTCGTCAGGAAATTCGTAATGGACAGGGGATCGGAGTTTACCTACCAAGAGGTGCAAGAATTATTATCAAGGTATGGTATAGCAGCCAACTATACCACGGTCGCGCACCCCAGGCAAATGCTCCCGTGGAGAGAGGACACAGTACCATTACGAGTCTCCTGGCTAAGTGGACCGAAGGGAGACCTAATCAATGGCCAAGGTACCTAAGGGCGGCATTCTTTGTCGAGAACATTACAGTAAAAAGATCCACCAAGTACGCACCTGCGACGTTGTGGTATGGACGGCACGCCACCTTCCCTATTGAAAGCTTTCTCAAGACTTGGAGGCGCCAGAATCTGGAAGTCGACCTGTCCTTTGAGGAATTGCTCGACATTCGGGCGCGACAGATAGGAGTGATAGAGAGAAGGATCCAGGAAGCGTCCGATCAAGTGGCTAGGAGTTGTATGGATGATAAGACTCGATGGGATCAGTCTGCTCGGGTGAAGAAAGTACCTCTGGCAGTTGGGGACGTCGTGCTTCTCTACGATTCATCATTGGAAAAGCAGTGGTCCAGGAAACTTGATAAGAGGTGGTTAGGTCCCTACCGGATCGTATGGGTTGGAGACTTCGGAGCGTACCAGATTGAGGAGTTGAATGGGACTGAGTGGAAGGATTGGGTATCTGGAACGCGATTGAAGAAATTTGTGGCGAGAGAAGAGGTAAGAGAGACGATCTGACTACCTCTAGAATAGAAGCGATAGGTTACGTAGGTCAGATAGGTTGTATGCTGCATGAGTATGGTCTGGTCTGAGATTGCTTGATTGTCACCTGTTTGCTTACCCTAATGTGTGCCTGTTATCTCCTTTCACCTGTTGTGCAGGTATGACTTTACGAAGACAGCCATGCCAAGAGGAGGGAGGGGGACACGGCCGCCTCGGAGGTCGTTGGGAGCATCAGGAGGATATGAGCGGCATGGGCCTCACCATCGAGAGAGTACTCCGGTGTACGATGATGGGGACATCGAGCTATTCCTGGACAACTTTTGGGATCATGCGAGGCGTATGGGCTGGACCGTGGCCCACGTGATTGAGAGACTGAGGGGAGCAGGCAGGTTCGAGGAGCTCGTCGCGCGGATCAGTAGGGAGGCGACGACGAGATCAGAGGTGGAGTGGAGGATGCAGGAGCTGCGACCCTCGCCTGTGGGACCTAATGGCAGGCCGATCCGCCTGGAGATTGGAAATGCGTCGGACTTCATCCCCGCGTTTGAGTGGTTCATGCAGGGGCGGGGTATACCGAAAGATGATTGGATGCAGACGCTACCACTCTGGACCAGGAAGGCGGAAAGGCCACTGGCTAGCCAAGTCAGAAGCATGGCCCGGGACTGGGAGAGCTGCAGGGCACATATGAGAGAGGCCTTTCAACGGCCAGAGCCCCCTCAACCAGAGTTGAGAGGCGTCAGAGGAGTTAGAGGCAGAGGGACCCTGAGCCAAGGGAGGCGAGACCGTCTCGAGGAGGACGAAAGGCCCTAGCTAGGAGAGAGGAGGAGCCAGAGCCAGAGGCTGAGGAGCGAGGCGCGTACCCTGAGTATGGGTTGGGACCAGTGGAGTTCCATCAGTTTGCCGAAGGTGAATTAAGGAGGTCGCCAGCACGCACACAGGAGGGGCCGCCGGCGTCTGAGGAACCTTTGAGGGAGTTGGAGGCGCACTTGGATATCTCTCAGTGGAGAGCGTCGCCTCGGGGTGAGGAGCGTGGAGAGCAGGCAGAGGAGGTACCTCGAGAGGGGGTGCCACGAGAGGAGGTGCCGCAGGAGGAGGTCCAAGACACTCAGCGAAAGAGAGGGCTGGGCGATGAGGAGAGACGTGCAGGGAAGGAAGTGATAGAGGTTGGAGAGGACACGCCCCCTCAGACGCCAGCGGTGGGTTTGAGACTCGGGGATGCACCAGGGAGCACTCGCCAGGCAGGGGAGAGGTTGCAGAGAGAGGAGGCCCCATTACCTTCATCAGAAAAGGCTCCTTCGCCAGAGGAGAGAGCAGAAAGGAGGAAAGAGAGGGCAGCGGTAAGGAGAGAAGCCTTGACCCTGATTGACAGACACCTAGCAGCTCATGCCCTGGAGCACCCAGACCTGGAAGAGCCAACACCTGCAGAGCCGCGCCACGAGCCGTGCCAGCCCGAGAAGGAGATGGAGGCAAAGATCCCGAAGAGGGTTGACCTCCGCACGAGGGAAAGGGTGCTAGCTGGAGAGACAGCAGAGGAAAAAAGGGCGAGAAGAACCAGGAGGATAAAGGAGTCTCTTGAGAGGGAGATGAGGACTGAGGCTGAGGGTGTCATCGAGGGCGGGCTCCAGAGGTTGGGCACGCCCGAGTATGGGCCAGAGGGGATTGAGGACCGATGGGGACCAAGTACCCAGGAGATGGAGGCACGAGAGGAGCCCTTGGATATGCCTCAGAGCCATGAGCTGAGCAGGGAGGCCAGCGAAGCGCCATCATCGCCAGGGTCTCAGAGAGGGAAGAAGAGGTCCAGAAAGTGGTTCGATACGTCCTGCTTCTTCTGTACAAAGGAGGGGCATCAAGCCTTGCAATGTCCTAAGTTCCTGAAGGACAAGGCTGAAGGGAAGGTTACAGAGGAAGGAGGCATGATGTATGATAGACAGGGCTGGAGAGTAGAGAGATCTGCAGATGGGGGTAGGGCTCAACTATATAGGCAAATCCAGGAGGAGACAGGACTGAGTTTTCCTATATGGTTGACATGTTGCGTATAAGACTAGAGTTAGGATTGGATGACGTTCTGTAGACCTAGGTGTTGTTTGCTTTTGTGAAGCAGTTTGGGTTGGATTTTTGTTGAGTCTGCCATCTTGAGGACCGGGACATGGTAGATAAGGTCTGTATATACTTAGGTGGCCTACGCCCTGATCTTCGAGAGACAGACCCAACTTGTACCTTGAGGACGGCCTCAGTGTGAGTGTGGTTTGAGTGAGTTGAGTGGGTTACAATTTGGGGATATTTGTGTATAGGGTGTTCTGCCCCTGAGTATATGTTAGAGGCATTTCATGTGGGAAATTTTATCCCTGAGTGTACATTATATCGAGATCTTTTGTATATGACGATCACTCTCACACTCACTTGTGTGGTCTTGGCTTGATGGATGATGGTTTGGTGTGAAATACGCGCGAGAAAATGTTTGATGTATTTTGTACCTTGTGAATTTGGGTGAATGTGAACTGTCTACTCGCCGGTATACTCGTGCGATCTGCCCATGGGCGGACGAGAGGGCCGAGTATAAGGCAAAGAAGCGCAGTCTATTTTGTGAAAGAAATGTGAGGGTCCTGAATATTCGTATGGTGAATGTTCTATTGATGAGCTGTGCAGAAGACCCACAAGTTGGTCTTTTTATATGGAATATATGATGAGTGGGACACCTGTGAATGGAAAGGTTGTCCATTATCTATTTGGAAAACGCATCTTCAGAGAGGGAAAATGCGTTAAAGAAAAGGTCACGAGAAAAGTCATCCTAGTGAGAGAGGGATGACTGAGAGACCTAATAAAGTGAGACCTCCTCTATAAATAAGATGGTTAATAAGATTGATTAATCGAAGATTGATTTTGAGTAATAAAAGACTAACGAGAGGGACTTAATTTTTGTTGGACTATTGGTGAATTTCTTGGATATCGCAAATGGTGTGTTTTAAGAGATGTCATCAAGATGTGTGACTTTCTTGCTCTGATCAAGCTGGAAGACCACGGCGTTGTGGATCAGACGGTGATTTTGTTTTGTGATTGTGGAGAGGTTGTCGTGCTTCCTGTGTGTTGTCCCACAAAGGAACTGGTAAATACTTTTTTATGTGCGACAGGTCTATGCGTAGTCCCACAGTAGGCTTGTATTGTCGCGACACACCGTCTGGCCGCTTGTGCTAATCTTGGACATTTATAAGAGACCCATCTAGGGGTATAACTAGCTTCACTAAGGCGCAACCCTTAGTGTCGGCCGCTGTTCGGCACAACCTCGACAGAGGGCCTGCGTCTGGCCAAGAGAGTAAAAACTTAAAGGGGCGTGAGCGCCTAGGAGGGCTTTACTCCTGCGAAGAGGCGTGGGATAAGAGTCGAGTCATATGAGTCTTTTTGAGGAAGTCCTGATTGAATGCTTATCAGGAACAACCTATCGTGGCGCAACCCGCGAAGGCACTACTGCTAAAATAACCATGCGGTGGGCCGTAGATCTGGAATGATCGCCCAGACTGTGGTGGGCCAAGATGGAGACCTGGTCTTCCTGTACTAGACTGCATGAGAGCTTATGGGAGAATCTATGTGGTATGACTACGTGTGTTAATGTGAAGGTTTTTGAGAGGCAGGCGAGAGAATGTCTTCGAAGGTCTCGGTTAGGGCCCTCGCCCCTAGTCACGACTTGGTTTCAAGGGAAAAGGCTAGGGGTACACAATGAGAAATCGACGGTTGTCTAGGGCAGAGGGAAGGGGACGGTGAGAGATCCAATGAAGCTTATGCTGTAGTATAGTGAGGAGTATCCCGACGTCCGAGTGTAAGGGCGACGAAAACCCAGGTTAGAATCCTGGCAGCATAAAGTTGTGTTTGGCATGAATTATTGGAGGCCTCAACCCTGGGTCTGTCGGCTGATCGGATTGGTACCCTGCTCGTCAGCATTTAAGGATTGTGATTGAATTGATAGCTTTTTGATCCTGCCAAGCGACGAGGACGTCGCTTAATATGGTCAGGTAAGCTGTCGGTGCGAATACCCTTACAAGGGTATCCGCCCTGGTCTTTGCAAACAACAGAAAGTAGTTTGGTTTAAAGTTTAAGTATGCCGCGCTAGGCGCGGCCGCGTCCGTAATTTATGTTGACTAGATGGTTGACGAGAGTAAAAGAGTGCGTGGGCGCGCAAACTTGAGGCGCGCGTGATTTTCTTTTCCTTTGGTTATACTAGTAGACGTGGCGCGGACATCGGTCAGCGCGCTCCATTATAACAATTGTTTGTTTTGACCAAACTGGCTAACCTATGGGCGCTTTTCTCTGGTTCTGCGTGGAACGATGGATGGGTCAGTAAGCGAGTGTGGCCTTACGCGGCATCCAGATGATCGGACCTGACGGATTCGGCCGGGTAAGGGTCGCCGCGACACAGCCGGGAGGTTGGCGCAGCTTTGTATGGTTATGTGTGTGAGTGCGGGTCAGGGAATGGCGTGGAGCGGCTCCTTTGGCCGCAAAAGGTCGGGGGCTACCTCTTTATTAGGTGACTCAGGCCTGCTGGTACCAGGCTTGGGCTTAGCCCTATTGGTTAAAGCATAAGACTGATACGCAACAGACGCAGGGATCGAGGCCAACGGCATGCGGTAAGGGAGCGGAAGAGCGTGGCGAAAAGGCTTGAGGGGTTGATGGGCCTAAGGGACTATCCCCCTTGCCTTTTGCTGCCGCGGGGCCGAGCATGGAACTTACGGGCAGGCGGAGAGGAGTGCCGTGGTCCCTGCCCGACTACCTCTCATTTTTATTTTTATTTTATATATATATATATATATTATTTCTAAGTTTATTTAGTTATTATTATTATCGTGCCCGTACATGGACGCGAAAACACAGCAGGGGGCACATCGCCAAGACTTTGAAATACAGATCCGTGTTCGAATGTAGATGATGGAGCCGGATCTGTAAAAAAGGGTATTCAAAATTTCCCGGGACTTGGGCAGGTTGACCCCGTGACCCCAGTGCTGGCCTTTGGGAAAGCTGCGGGGCATCGCCCAGGCCACGTCCTTTGGGACATCCGTTAAAAATCTGGGCGATACAGAGAGGGTTCGTTTGGTCGCTGCGTAAGGAGGATGCGCAGTAACCCGGAAATGAACCCGGACGCAGGCTGCGCCGGGTACGGGCGAACCAGAGAGGAGCGGGGTGGGCTGCCCCACGGCGAGATTCGCCTGGCGGCTGCCTGTCACGTTAGCAGCCGGGCACCGGCCGGCGCCAAGTCCCTCGGCACATCCGTTCGTGTTGGTGTTGTCCTTCGGGACATCCGCTTAAATTGGAGCGACACAAAGAAGATTAGCATGGACCCTGCGCAAGGATGATGTGCATAAGAGCGGAGGAAGTTCTCTTCCTCCACTTGCTTTATCTCACTTTCAAACCGACCGACGGCAGGGCTGTCCGGACCGCAAGGCGTTGAGTGAGCGTCGACTGTAACATTGTTGGAGAGGAAGGACGAACCCAGTTGGTAGTCGAGCCGGGTGCTTTCGCAAGAGGAGTGGCATAACGAACTAGGCCGTCGGGGGCTGGCGGCACGACCAAGGGGGGCGTTGGTGACAACGGATAGGCCGGAAAGACGGATAGAAGGCTTTGCTGAGTGCGTGCAAGGTGAAAACGGATAGCGCAGCGGGCACTGTGCTAGCGGAGAGACGAGGTAGCGGGCGCTGCGTTTGTAGCAGCGGGCGATGAACGAAAGAGGAAAAAGGGAAGGATGAACCCGGGCACAAAAACGGCGCCACCTGTCGAGCGCATTGGTCCGGCACCGCACCAGGGCAGCGCGGGACCCTCCCGGCTGCGTCACGCAGGAGTTGGTTTTAAATCCTTCGTCGTGAATATACATGGAGCTTCCATAAGCCGCTCTGGCCGAGTGCGCCAGCCATACCTCTCGCGAGCCACTACGATAGGATAGGGCCTACGCAAGGCATAACTTACCTACACCTTACGGGAGTTGTCACCTCCCTTCGGTGGGCGTATCCCCGCCGAGCTACCAGTCCACAATACGAAAGTTGATCAGTTGCAGTCGCACAGGTGGACCAGCCAATGACGTTTCTCGTTCGCTGCAGCATAGGGGGTACGCGAGGTAATACTCCTCTATCAAGCCCGCACGCGAACCGGCATCATGGGGGGCAGAAGTCCCAAGCGCGGCTCGTCGTCGGTCGACTAGGACGCATCCCACACACCACGTGCACACCACTTTACGAACACAAAAATAAAACCCACACACACACATACGAAACAATACAACATAAACAACGCGACAACGCTCCTAGCCTCTCGGTAGTCGTCCCGTAACTTCCCGATACGGAAATCGGATAGACGTCGCGCGCGAGACTCAATATAAAACCACGCGGACGTAGGGCTATCGAGTATCGACTCGCAATGCAGACGTGTGCAAGCAGTCGCAATGAAGGCGTACTTTGTGGTACTCATACTCACGCGGTCCCCGTTAATCGCGAGGGTCGCGTTTGACACTCAAGTGTCGGCTGACACGCGCCTCGAGGTTTAATCTCTCGACGCTGGACAACCGCCATGCGTGTTTTAAGATCACACCCTCTTCTGCCTTGTGTGCAAAGGGGTTGAGTAGACAGCTTTAAGTTGTCGTGGCGGTCGAACATCAAGGGGTTTGACTTTGACGGCTGCCACGGACTATAACGTCCAACTATAAAAACTCCAAAGAGCAAAAGATAAGGAATAGGCCGAAGGTTCCCTGCCTAGTAAACAAAATCATAGCCCTAGGGTACCTTCCCTTTATCGCGTGGCGTTGGCGGCCCATAGCAAACCAGACATTCGCCCATATGTGTCAGTCCCTTTGTAATCCCATAACTCTTTACACACTACGGTGGCAAAACGTCGCGCGCGAGATTTTAATATAAAGTCGCGCAGCCGAGGGCCTATCTCATACCAACCCGCAATGCTGGCGTACGCATGCAGTCGCAACGATGGCGTACTATGTAGTGCCCATAATCAATCGGTCCCTCGTGGATCCGAGTACCGCTTATGACACTCAAGTGTCAGACTCGAAGTGTTGTGAGGGTCTGATTCTTCACGACATTGCACGGCTGAAGGAAT